CTACTAGTAAGGCACCTGTTACTACTAGCGTGGCACTTGTATCTAATAGCTTCTTGTTACTACTAGCGTGGCACGGTGCTTTCACACTGACAGGGTGAGGTCGAGACTCAGGACGATGCGAAGCTCTCACCCGCTCAGATTAGAGCTTTGCGAGAGCAGAAAAGGCCTCCCGCCTGTCTCGGTGAGTGCTAAAACACAAAGAGACACCAGCCCGGCATAAATCACATACTCAGGTCTCGCACTTGCGATAACACGCCACATGTCATACATAAGCATCAATTCGACAATAGGGAATGATCACAAAGAGCTGTTAAGAGGCCGAAGGAGAAGTAGATGGAGGGAGAGAAAGAGCCAGGGAGAAAACGAAACAGGTGTGATGATTGTGATGCAAAACAGTTACAGTTGATTAACTGTATTATTGCAATATATATATATGTAGATATGTGGGTTGCAGAGGCGATGGATGTATATATATATATACACTATATGCAATTGCCCGGCGGTGAGTTTGCGGTTCAAAGAAACCGAGCGAGGGCTTTCTTTCCGTGATCGTTGACCGCCCTCACTTTGTTTGGTGCTGCCGCTGCTACCACCTGCAAAATAAGTCAATAACTAAATACACATTGTGTTGCATATATGATCACACACAAACATATATATATATGTATATTCTACCCCCGTGGAACCTACAGTCCTACAGTGTAGGTGCAAACCGCTGCAATCTTCCAGCACTCACCGTTCTCATTAGACAAAAACACATCTCGCAATAAAATGAGTAAGAACGGGAAACCCCTGATGCAGAAAAATTGCGCGCTCTACCACGATAAGATCAGAATAGCATTCTCGTTGAAGAAATGCCCTTCACATGATAGCCCCAGCACAAAATCGTGGTCTCGTCTCATAAAACACACTTCTTGCTTTACCATAGATTTTGCACACAGGAGGTACCGCGTCCCAATACGAGCCCGATTGTCACAGGTTTCACGAGACAGAGAGAGAGAGAGAGAGAGCTAGAGAAAGAGCTAGAGAGAGAGAGGGAGAGAGAGGAGAGTTCGTCGAATAAGTAAATTTAAACGCCCTCAAAGGCTCTTCCATTTAAAGGGCGTTTGCTTGTAGGTGCATCTACCTACCTTTTCAGGAAGACTTTGGTACTTTATATTTTGATACCTCCTGGAGGGTTTTGCAAGCTCTCATTTTTTGGATTGTGGTCCCCTTTCACGGTTTTGATTGGTTTGGATTCGTTAGGATACGTTTTCAGATGTTTTCAGTAGGTGTTTGCTTCAGGTGCTTGCAAACAGATGGATGTGCTTATAAGCAGATACTTCATGACAGAGGGGGATATCATACATAATCACACACACATATATGTATATATATATATATATGTATATGTATATATGAAAATACATATGTTATTATCATTTTGATGTCATCTGATTTGATGCAAAGGCAACTCAAGACACTTACTGATGTATTGTTGACAATGTTCTGTGATGCACATACATTTGCGGCCTCTTTTGCCCCTGATAGTTGTACAAAGTACATCAATAATTTCACAAAGCTCTAGTGCCAGGGAGGGGGGACCATGCATACATATGCATACATAATTTATGCATCTATAGCCGCAGACACATGTAAGTACACATTTACAAGCAGCGTGCGTGATAAATAGAACCTGGCAGCTTTTTTAAAGCTGATGCGCAAGGAGTAGTACCCTACGGTGTCCCCCTCTCCAAGCTTAGTGGTCAACGGTGCCAGGCCAATGTCGTCTTTTGTCTCCAGCAGCAGAGATCAGATGACCTCCCTGGTTTCACTCTTAGGGCCTGACTCTGTGGCAACATTTCAAGGAGACTAACTAGTCTTGGGCCCAGGCAGTGGAGAACCGTTTCCGGCTGGTCAGCTTACAAGAAGAGCAACCAAACCGTGGAAGAGTTTGAGAGGTTTGCAGCTTTACAGAGCACAATCTTGAATGCTTTAAGGCACCACCACCAGGGTCCTACAGACCGAGCACTCACCTTTGTGAGCCTAGAGTGAAGACTCCAGCAGTTTCCTCAGTTTGCGGATTTGGGGTCAATGTCGAATTTGAATTCAGACCTTGACAAAACATTTGGTGGTCAAGCACTGAACACTGAGTAATTATATAGAGGCTCTGCGACTTTGTTTCAGGTTTTCCGGGTGCCGGATGGAACGCTGAGCAGAAAGCAGAAGGTCTTCGAGCGGGAGGCCTTGAACGGACGACAGAGACATGCGCATAACGAGGATTATCAGTTGAACATATGCCTGAACTAGAATCAGAGGTTTATCACCAATCTTCATCGTAGTGCCTTCGTACACTGCACCGTAATCCAGATGCCAACGTTGATTTTCCACTGGCAGAAGCCAAGATCGGCCGGCTTGTGTGCCAGGTGGCTAAGCTTCAGGCTGCAGGAAAGCCATACGAGCACTTACTGCAAGTTGCAACCTGAGGACCTCAGATGTAACACGCCAAGTTTGATCCGGTACACAGGGTACACGGTACACTCTTATTGCACTTTGTGGATGCTGCGAGGGTGAAGTTCTAATGCCTACACTGCCATGCTGAGGGCGTTAGAAGCGTAGAGCTTCTGGACCAGCCACCTGAAAAGTGCGGTCCACGGAAGAAAACCGAAAGAGCAATAGGCAATCTATGGCAATCTGGATGACTATTTGGAGCTAATTCGTGATTCGTGACGGCTGCTATTGACACGTCCTGACCAGCCGAGGCTGCAGAGAGCTATCACAACACCTGATCTGGAAAGATATACAGCCAGGCCAACACCGTGCAGCAATCACACAATGTGAAAACCACAAGGGCAGAGGCACGGGTAAGAGTTCAGCGGGTTGCAAAGGCCAGACATGATCAAGTTGGCAAATATCCACTTCCACGACAGCGAGTTTACAGTGTGGATCTTTTATGGCTGTGCTACATCGGAGTTTCTTTCGCGAGTGGCGATGACTAATTACTTGCTAAGGACGGTGTCCTAGATGGAGATGTTAGCACCTCCATGATTCTCCGGAGCCCAAAATGGGACTTTGCAAAGCTTTGTCCTCGCATGTCTTGCTGAAAGAGATGCTTTGAGTCTTGATTTCTCGTTTGTGACCTGGCCATGCCCGACCCACGACCAAGGCTTTCTGCATCTCAACGCAAGGACTCTGACACATACTTTCAGCCTTGGTCTTGGTAGTCTTGTGGATCGAAGCTAAGAATTGACATGACACGGTGGTGGTTTCGCGCTGCTTCAAGGCCAGGGCAGTACAAACCAAACCTCGATGCGGTGCGACCGAAACTAGAGACTGGAGCTTAGCCATTCAACCGACAGAGCTCTCTTCCCGTGTCATGAACGTTGTACACAAACGAGTCAAAAGAGTGTGAGCCGAGTGAGCTGTCCCGGCTATGCACGGCTTGGAGATGTGAACGTTCGGTGAAGATGCGAGGACCAAGAACATTCCTTTCAACAAGCTCCCGCCCCGGAAGCCCTTGAAGGCAACAAAAAGAGGGCAACGGGAAGGAACGGGAAGGAAGGAGGTCACCTGCCTCGAATTTGTGCCAGGAGACAGTGGGCCGCTTCGAGTTGGATGGGAGAGAAGGCGATCACTTGCCAGATAGGCCCGTCCATGTAGAGCTATGAACGGGTGAAGATTAACCAAGCAGATGTGCTGTGAGGTCTCTTTCCAGAAGCTGCCCATTCTTGATGCCTAGACTACACAGCCTGGCTCTGGAGCGCCCGGTTTCTTTTTCTTTTGAGTTTGCCAGGTTGGACTGTATGTTTCACACGAGTAAGGTCCTAACTTGTCAAAAGACTCAGAGCGCCCGTGCGAGCCCAACCAACGATGTATGATGATGTATGTAGACGAGTCAGTAAAGCCACGATCACGCGTGCATTGATCCCAAAGGCCGATCATGGGCAGAAGGAAGCCCTGGCATGACATCAATGATGCAGAGGTGCAGTGCTTTGGTTCTGCTGTTCGCTGGTGTTGCAAAGAATCTGATTTGCCGCGAACATGCTTTAAAAGTGCAAATTGCACACAGATATATATCTACTGTATAGTATATACTAAATATATAATATGATGCACACATATGTAGAGGAATTGTGTGTGTGTTTTGTACCCGTGTCAGTCTGGAAGGTTGATAGAGTCGTCTATGGCCGCAGCGTCAGCATGAATGCTAGTACTATCTAGTACTGTATGTGATAGACAGTTATGCTCAAGACTTGAGGGGCACGGCACGACCAAGCATGCGCTGCCAAACTGAGATTACGAGATGAATTTCAACATCATGGAGTGCGAGAAGGCAAAATCGAACCACAAAATCTCTTTCTATTTCTCCAGTGAGTGGTGCAGGCTCGCTGGAAGCCACAGACCGCGGGAGACTTCAGCAAGAGCTTAAGCAGGTCAGCAGTCCAAGATAGTCCAAGTTAGGATTATAGGTTGATTTTTCCGAAGCCTTGTCATCAGCTCAGGAAGCAGCACTTGCGTGCAATGAGGATGTATGGCCAGGCGTGCGTTTCTTGGAGCAAAGGGCAGCTGATACAAAATGTAGCCCTCCAAGGCGGCAGGTACCTTGTGAGGTACTAGTGCGGGCATTTGCAACTGTGACCAGATGGTGGCTTTAGTGCAGGATGCGGCTCTGCTCAAGGCAAAAGCCAACCTGACCGAAGGTCCTGTGAGTGTAGAGCTTTTGTGGGAAACCCGGCCGCCAAGACACAGACCAGCAAAGACGCCAATGATTTACTGCTGAGGTCTGACATTGACAGTAGTCCGATGCTCCACCCCAAGGCAGGTTGGTTGACTGTCTACCGCCATCCACCTCTCCATACTGTAGCCTTTGGCATGCCTTTGCTGCTTTGTGTTAGGTGATGTCTCCTCGGTTCGAGATGATGGCTTTCAACCTAGTGAGACAACGTGCATTCGCAGAGAGCGGAAGACAATAAACTCATGACTGCTTTATGCTATTGTGTGTCATCCTGGGACCAGCTTTCGATGGCTGGCGAGGCTATGAGAGAACCAGAGCACAAGTATGTTCTCGCCTTGTTTGGGCTGGAGCATGCACATGGATTGAGAATCGAGGATGGCTCCCTCTACATAGCAGCCTGTGACAGGGGTGAGCTAAGCATGACCTCGAAATGGATGTTGCCAACACAGATTTAGTTTACGTTTCCATTTGGTTGCGGTTGGTTTTGAAAGCACTTCTGCGTTTGAGTAGAGTCTTCCCAGCCAACCGCAGAATCGCTGGAAGACATGAGGCGGAATCGCCTGCTCGCCTGAAAGATGCGAAGGGCACCAAATTCAAGCGTGAGCTTCGATCTGGTGAGTCCTGGACTGACACTGGGAGCCAGTCCCTTACACTTGCTGCGACTTGGAGGGGAATGCCCTGTGCTGTGCACAAGGGGAATTGTACCCACCTGTGTGCTGTGTGTCAGAACCGACCGCTCTACGTGTACCAAGCACGACTCGCGCAAGTTGTGTCGGTCCAAGCCCAGGCCAGTTGCAGTCAAGTAGCAAAGAAACAGCTCGTTATAATTCGTTATGTAATTACTAGTAGCGATGGCCTCCAACTACTAGCGATGGCCTCAACTCCAACCTAGTAGCGTTCTTGTTACTAGTAATGCCCTTGTTACTAGTATATAATGTTTGACAGATTCTAAGCACCCCGGTTGAGTAACCACCTTTGCAGCATTCTGTTGTGATATTTTTTCACTTCTCATCACATCATGGCGCTACAACCTGCTCTGTTGGATCCTCTCCTTTCCCATCCTTTCCTCCCTTCCTTTGGTCCGGCCCATAGCAGAATTTCTTTGAAGAATATTGATCGATGAGAATCATGTTCATGCGGCCAGCAGTTGAATCATTTGCATCATAGGTGGAGCAGGCAGCCAGTCGAGTTCGAGTTCAAATCGGCTGCGCGGTGCGCGCCAGACTTTGGCGCCACATCAGCGTGTTGGGCGAAACTTTGGGCGAGCCACTTGCAGGAATTCATAAGACACACACACACACATGATGTACGTCATGATGCGCTAGCCTCAGTAGTCACGGGAATGATGTGGGCATCATTTGCAGATTGAGAGGCTTGTCCCGAGATCCTGGGACTTACAGCTGCTGGAATTGCTCGCAGGTTGCAGAGGTGGCATGACACATCATGACTCTTTCATTGACAATTATACATATAGAGAAGTACCGTATGATATATACATATACAGTGTGTATATGTGTTTGATGATTATGAAGGCGACGAACTGGGCAACATGCGGCTGCGGGCGGCTGATTGCTCAGAATAGCTCAATTTTTGTCAAGTTGGCATTTTTCCCCAGCTGCTGGAGTAAGGTACTTGGAATGATCGGCTTGATGGTGGAAGGCCAGCATGCCCAACAGCAACCACACTGACGGATGTTAAATTCTTCCACGACCGCCCGCCGCTGAATAAGTTCAGGGGGCAGGCCGTGTATTGTATGCCGTTATGGCTGTGTCGTAGCAGGGTGCTGTTCGGGTGTATCATACCTCTTGGTCAGGAGGTAGGTGCGCGTTGCCACCATATGTGCAAGGACGGTCTCGTTGTAGTTATGGTGTGGGAAATTCTGCTGATGCATACCAACCCGTGGCCAACCGAGTCTGGAGTCGGTCGGCAGGGGTTGGGATTGGTGGTGGGTTGCCTGGGCAATGCAGCAAGTGTGCGTCCAGGTGCCCACTTCGGGGCAGTCGTAACATTGCTTAGCAATGTCTGTGGGTGGACCTTGGGAGGTCATTATTGCATGGTGGGCTTTGCTGACGGCCCCACCTGTCAGAATGCTGAAGTGGTGGGTGCTGGGTAGCGCAGCTTTGCGCGCGGCTTGCACCCGCTGTTCGTTGTAGGGTGGTGGTTGTGCTTCAGTGGCATCGACTCGAGTGGAAGTAGCCCATGCTTGGTATTGGGTGGCCCGCCAAGCCTCGCGGAGCTTATGTGAATGCCGCGCGGGTGGGTCTGGTGCAATGTCGGGAGTGGTGGCCTGAGTTTGTGGGCTGTGTGGTGGACCTCGTATGGTGAGGTGTGTGAGGTCATGTTGCCACGTGGAAGCCGTGCTAGTGTTGGGCGTCCAGCCCTGGTTGGTGTACCATTGGGCCAGGTTGTTCTCAAGGTAGTGATGCAGTGGAAGGTGGGATGTGTGTGTGTGTGTGTCCACTCCTGTTTCCAAGGACACTACCCCAACTCTTTCTAACCTACCCTATGATTTTCCTGACCAATGTACAGCAGCAGGGGGTGGTAGCAAGGCAGAGAGTCTACCACCAACGAAGACGCTCTCTAAGCCTTGGTGATACTGGGACTGATCATCCCAGCGTACCTGCATAATTCAATATTTAATCTTCAGTCATTCGATGTTTCAACAATTCTGTTCGACCGACCCAGCATTTTCCTTTCAGTCAAGTGCTAAGTATTCACTTAAAGGGCTAATGCACACCGCGAAGCAGCCTGAAATCGCGCTCCACGGAGCAACCTTCTCAAGTGTGTGTGGTAAGTGTTGGCCAGTTGGGCACGACTGGATACGCAGCATATGTGCACGTGCTACACACTTGTAAGACGTGAAGTATTTTGCTTTCTTCATGCACAAGTGTTGCATTTGTAGCGGAAAGACTATATATATATATACACATATATACTTACCTGTCTAGGAACAATATCAACATCTCCCCATCGAAAGATTTTTGCATGTGTTTGGAGACACTCTGCTGCTTCGTTTCTTTCACTCTATCTCCCTCCCTCTCTTTCGCTGTGTTGCCTTCAAGTCAAGACATTTTGTTCAATTACATTTGACGAACACGGCTTCCTCCATCTAACTATTGAGTTTGCACCTGCCCTTTCGTATTTCAAAGTTCTCATTCATGTATAACATCATTCAGACAGACATATTTTTAATCTAAAGACTCAAGACCATCGCATTGTTGTAAACATGTGTAAGCATGTCGTTCCGCAAGTATACATGTACACAAGTATGTTTGAAGGCTTTATGTTGAGGATAAAGTCAGGATCTTCCTTGCAAAAGATGTGCAGCTACAAAAGGGCACCTGCTTCAATGTAATGACACTTGAAACATCCTATTCTAGCAAACCACACCGCCCTTTTACATTCAAAGGCGCTCCTGTGAATGAACATGCAGAGAAAACCTGATCGGGCGAACAGTTCAGAAGTCCATGCAATCCTAGCGAAACAATGCAATTTATAGCCCATTCATTTGGGCTGCAGCACGTCTTGCACATTTGTATTTCTGTACGTGTCTTCCATCATACTTTGCTGAGTCAACCCATTAAAGGGGCTCTATACTTCTGGCAATTAGCCTTTGGCGGAATGTATCCATTGTTTAGCCAATTGTGTTGGTTTGTTTAGGAACCATACGGCGTAAGCCCATGTTGCTGGATCTAAATACAGTTAAGTTAAGTTATATATATACCGGAAATTTCCAAGAGTCCATTGTTTTCCGAGCTGTTACTCCAGTAGAAAGGATCACCTGGAGTTTGAAATATTTGTTGATTCAGCGGGTGATGCTTAGTTGACGCTTTTGCACCACGTCCGGGTGCTGGTGGGAGCAGTTGGGTTCGTAGTCCCAGTGTATTCAAACGTTTGCAAACGTTCCCGGATGCAAGATTCAAGAGCTTTCTAGAGTCTAGAGTCAGAGAAGTTTTAGAATCCCACCTTGGCTCAAGAGCCAAGACTGTCAGCACCAAGATTCAACGGAGACCCAGTCTAGGAGTGAACAACGTTCTTTTTTTCTCCGATAATTCCGATATATGTTAATGCAGTGCAGTTTGCGTCTTGGAGGCTGTTTCCGCATTTCGGTTCGTGCACGTTACATTCCTCTGCCCTCTTCGTTCGTAGTTTGCCGATTAGTGTCTCACTGTGGTCAGGCATTAGTCCGGGCCTGCGATCGTGCTGCTTGAAGGTAGAGTCTACTGTCGGGGTTCTCTCTGAGGAAAAAGACGCCGGCCACAGTCTCTGCCTGTGCCCCGGGTGTCCTCCTGTTGTCCTTTGGTCACGCTCGCGAACCTTGTATCCTCCTTTTGTCCTCCTGGACTCCTGGTGTCCCTGCTATCCTCGTGCCGTGCTGGCGAGCCAGGTGTCCTCCTTATGTTCCCCAAACAGTTTATGCCGGGTTCTCTCAATGATCAAGCCTTGCCGTGGCGTGGGCCGGGTGCCGTGGGCCTTTCTTCTCCGCCTTGTGAGGGCTTTGTGCAGGCCTTGTCCGGGTCTGTTTGTCTCTCTTGTCCGCGTTATCTGCCCTTTTATCACCGCCTTGTCCGAGCCTTGTCCCCTGCCTGGCCACGCCGCTTTTCCTTTCTCCACTGCCTTGTCTGGGTATGTTTTCGTATTGCTATGCATGCAACAGCGATACAGCGCTTGGAATTTGACACATGCTGTTCTCCAACAGCTGGAGGCTATAGGAATAGAATATAATTACCAACGTTACCACCAACGGAATTCAATGAGTTGACGCAAAAGATGCGGAAACTGTTTGGGGTTTATGCTGCTGGCATAATTTTGACTCTTGAATGTATGTAGGATCCAAGAGCTTGTTCTGACAAGCTTGAATCTGGTATTTCCATCAAGCTCTCAACTCGCCCTTTGGCACTTGCTACTACTACTCCAGGCCTTTGCGTGTGATCATTGTGGGCGGCGGTCCTGGTGGTCTTGCTTTGGCCCGTGGCCTGATCAACATTCCAGGAAAAGTGGCGTTTGTCTCCATGTCGAATTTGAATGCCGTAGTTGATCGTAGTTGATGGTTTTCAGCCAGGACTGGACATTTGCATCCTAGAAGGCAGACCAGAAGTCAAGACAGGACAGCTTCGAACACATGCTGTGCAAACAGACATTCAGAGACTCAGCCCGAGGAACCAAGAATAAGGGAAGATCTCATACCATCGGCCTTGGCCGAAGAGCAAGGGAGGCGCAGATGGGCACGCGATACAGTTGAGTGCCGGAATGCACACAAACAAGCAGGCTATTTGTCAGCTGGGCGGCCAATCGGCGTGGGATGAGCTCAGTGCCAAAGGTATCATGGCAGACGGCTTCACACTCCATCTCAATGGAGTGCCATGTCACAGATCAAAGCAGATGAAACGTCCCCTTTTTTCCAACAGCAGCTAGATTCAGGTACCGTCATTGGTCCTCCTACTGGTGCTGGTTGCAAGATGTTGCAAGTTTAGGCATTGACATCGTGATGTCATTGAAGCCTTTGCACCTCAATTTTTACAACTCTTTGATGCAACATACTACAAGGATAAATTGTGATACATGTAACTTATAACTCTCTCTCTCTCTATATATATATGTCACTGCCCCCCACGTCGCAGCTATGGTTTCCTTGGTGTCACGGTCAAGCCAGACTAAGGTTCCTTTGTCTTTGCCACCGCCTGAGGGGGAGCCCGTGGTCCTGGTTGACCGTAGTTCGATCGTCTCTGCCCTCAAGGACGAGCTGCTTTGATGAAGGAAAGAATCCCCAGGTAGCGCGAGTGATTTCTCTTCCAGACTTTTGAGCAGGGTCTAAGTGATGCTTGGAATGTAGAGGATGTGCAATCTGACGAGACGTTTCATGACTCATGACAGCTTCAACAGTGTGGACTCAACACGTATAAGTATACGAAAAGCAGACAGAGGGTCAAGCTGAAAGCCACGTAGTGGCATTCATGCTTTGTTGAGACCTCACTCGTGACACTGGTCCGAGGCTTTTTGCCAATGATTTTGCTGAGGGCACAGATGTCAGGATTGAATACTCGTCAAGGGTGGCTTGGATTCGCTTGGATATGATAAACGGAGTTCCGAAGAGAAAGATCCAAGTTATGTACCCAAAGTTGCAGCTAGCGTTTGCGTGATCATGGGCACGTGGACTTTTATGGTTGTGCAAATAAACCGCTTGTCTCATAAACACTTTATGAACTAATTACATTGGGCATCGTTGGCTCAGCAAATTGGTCGTGAAGTGATATCACGAAAGGTAGCCCTTTAGGGGATACCTTGAGTTTGTCTTGCGAAGCAAGTGTTGGCGCGTCCGGGTCTAATAATTGATCATTCAATTCACCCCCCCCCCCCCCCATTTTTTTTTTTAAAAAAAACCCCCCCCCCCCCCGGCCCCCTTGGAATTGATTTTTCAATACAGACCGCCCCCCCCCCTGTAATTCAATTCTCTCCTGGAGAACGTTTTCGTGAGCCTCTCATGATTTCAGGAGAGTTGAAACCCTCTTGAACATTCAGAAAGAGTGCATATGAAATTCTAATCACGAAAGGTGTTCCCCGAGGGGATACATACCTAGAGTTTGTTTTGTGAAGCACGTCAATTCTCTCCTGGGGAACGTCTTCGTGAGCCTCTTATGGTTTCAGGATAGTTCAAATCCTATGATGCTCCGATTCAATGCTCACCGATGATCTGAGCCATGGGGCAAGTTTGTTTTCCCAAGAACCTTTTTGAACATTTCGAGAGCATATGTTTGAACATTTAGAGTGCATATGAACATATATTTACGAAAGGTCGCCTCTGAGGGGATAAATCACCATGTCGAACATTGCATTTTTGTTCTTGCCTCTCGCGTTCTCTTCTTTTCCCGCTGTCCTACCTTTCGTGTCTCCCTCCTCTCAAGTTATGTTTCTATGCAATGCTGAACGCTGAAGGGCTATATTATGGGTGGTGTCGTGGTGTGTTTCTATCTTGGCGGTAGCGCAGCAGTATGTTTCTACGCGTTGCTGCCGATGGTGATGGTTCAACAGGTGGTGAAGCAGCATGTTTCTATCAGGATGACGTGGACACTCACTCCGGAGACAAATGACGGAAATTTGTAAAGAACGGTGTCGCAACGTAGAGATTTGCAGTGTAGAGAACACTGTCGAAAGTTTTGACAAGTACACGTTGCACAAATAGATACTATATATATATATCATTATATATCCACTGGTGGTGAAAGGGTATGTTTACAAAGCTGTTGCAGTGAAAAAGTTATTTTTTGGGCAGCGGGTCACATCATACGGCATACGTTACGGCAACACACTTACTTTGCTGGAACGTAGAAAATACAGGATTGCATTTCGCTGCGCTACAAGGTGCCTCAACCACTGTGCCACTCTTCACCACATCATGAAGCACAATCTTCGCCACTCACAAAATCCATCATTATAAACTTCACCACCGCACAAACTAGCACAGGATGTGACTCTGCATCAACTCGCAACTCATCAGGCACATCTTCACACATAGTGTCCAATTGTTGATATACTTTGAAGCTTGTGCCCGCAGCCACTTTCTGGACAGGACTGCTGGCCTCATACAGGTAAGAGTCTTGATTCTTGATGTTATGATACGCAAACAATACAAATCATACATCCAGTTTCTTCTTCAGCTGTTTTGTGCTTTCAGGTGCTCAGTGTGGACGTAGTTCATAGACGCATCATTGTGGTCCGAAACCAGGGCACCCCAGATTGCAAGGACGCGTGTTGTGGATGCAATACCGACCCGTTGCAACACAGTGTGGCAACAAACCGGAATGCTCTTCAAGGGTGTTTGGTCTTGGTTCGGTGGGACTCTTTTACCACTTTGAGCAATGCAGCTTTGATTGATGGCGTGCCGTTTTGACGGAAAAGATTCATGTGTTTGTTTGCACACTGCATTATGCCACCAGGAAGAATCGCTGGACTATGACCTGCTCATTGGCTCTGATGGCGTCCGTTCGCGAGTTCGCGAAGCAATGAATAGCCAACTGCCCCCAGGTGAGGTGCTGTGATAAAGCAAATTCCGATTGCGCATGTCTTCATTTTTCACGATTATTCTCGCATGTTGAAGCTTTCCCTCGCGACATGCACTAGAACAGACTCATTTGATGACTTGGTGCGCAGTTTCAATGGGTTTTGCTTGCAGGTCGATTTGATTCAGAGCTTCGTGTGATGCCTGGCAGGCTGTGGCTACCAAAGCTTCGGTTGTTGTCTAATTGAAAGATATCAAGGCAGTGCTGGTCCTTTTCTTTGCATAGGTTGCTTTCAAGGGTCATGGTGGTCATGCTACTTTGTTGGATGACCTGACTGGGGGCGCTGCAGCGTCAATCTCCCATGGCTGCTGCACAGGAGTGGTGTTTGCATTTAAGTTCAATTCTGCCCTTACCGGTATTGTTACGAGAGTGTCAGATTTGATACGCTAGGGCTCTTTTGTCATCAGTGCAACATTTGTTGCCAGGTGGATGGTACTGCGAGTGGATTTGCCGGAAAGGTACAGCAAAACCAGTGTCCACGTAACTTGATGGCAGCACAACGTCCTACTTTGGGTTAAAAAGATAAAAAGACACATGCTATGCATGCTCCAGCATAGTGAGAAAGGGGAGGGTCCAGGCCCATGCATACTACTTACTCCGAGGTGAAAATTGATGGCTTGTCTTTTTTTGTTGCTTCGTCTTCGAACTCCAGGGGGCAACACACTGTTGCGCCATATGCAAGTCCAAAAACCCTGGAAAAGTACACATTTTTGGCAAAAAATCTCGCCCTTTTGTCTGCGCGTGGAGGCTTTATGTCAGAACCACAGATGGCGCAATGCCAATCGATGCATACAGTAGGTTTCAATTCTGCAAATCTCACCACTGACCCTTCAATGTCCAGATTTCTGAGCAGTCCTTGTGTTTGCTTGCCGCGTTCCTTGTTTTGGGATGGAAAAAAGAGCTTTGGGATGCGCCATCTATAGAATCTACAAAAAACTTTTGGTTTGTCAAGGTGCAGCCTTAGTTTTCGTGATGTTTAATGTTCAGTTGGCGACAGTTTTTTGTGATTTCTAGCTCAAAGATGATCCAATTGACACGTGGTGTTGAGCCATCTATCGCTATGCCGGTTACCCCCTGAGTTGCGCCAACAACTTTTTCAGCGGTGTATAGCTTGCACGGGAGGTGTTTCGAGCAGCGTAGCTGCCTTGGTGAATTCTTCAAGTTGTTGAGCTGAAAGGCATTCCCTGTAGAATTCCAAGCACCTGAGGCGATGGTTGCTTCGGAAGCACCGTTTGGACTATTCTGCATCCCTGACAAAGCTGGGCCGCTGGAACCTCAAGCGTATGCATGAACATTTTGCTTGTCAAGGTCGAAGCAAGCACATACATTTACAGTACTTACCCTTTTCAGGGTTTGGGGGAGCGCGCCAGGCACTGTGTGATTGCTTCCTGGAGTTCAGATGACTCCCCTGAAGAGCTTTTGAATGCAAAAACACCGGCCGAACTTGAAGCAGATCCTTGTCTTTGAACATCACACAGTTGTAGCGACAGTAATGTAGACAGCAAGCCTTGGTGGATTGTTTTCTGCAGCATTTTCGACTTGCACTCCAGCAAAGGTTTTGCTACGCTACTACCCTCAACTCGCCACCTGGCAGTATGAGTGGCACGGAGTGTATTAGATTGATGCTAGCTCAGGAGAAGATCCCTCATGACACTGCAGAGGATTTCCTGAATAGCGCGCCCTCAAAAGCCGTGGTAAGCCGTTGTCGCCCACTACATGATGCGGATCATGCCATTTGCGCCTTGCTCGCATGTGGGGGACAACCGCAGGTCCTAGTCAGTCAGTCAGTCAGTCAGTCAGTCATGGCTTGTGGCTTGCTTGCATACGCTGACGTGTGAGCCGAAGGCGTGCTGGGGGATGCAGCTCATGCTGTTGGTGGCGGTTCCCTCGGGCAGGGCTGTGCCGGGCTTGGCCTGTGACACACACCTCTGGCTGTCGGACAGATCTGCACGCAGAGTAAGGCAGTGCCGCGCTGCAAGATGCTGCAGCGTTGGCTGAATGCTTGCGAGAGGCAGGACATGAATTCAGATGCAGTAGATTCAGCTGTTGCAATGACCATTCCATGAAGAGCCGCTGACGCAGGGCGCGCGGCTGAATCAAGAGCTGCTTCGTTCCAAAAGAGAGGAACAGACACAGGCCACCAGTGGCGTGTCTTGGAGAGAACAACCTGACCTGGATTTGCATTTGTGCAATAAATGATTGTTTCTAGTGGATTCGCTCTATGTCTATGTCCAAATCTATTTGGGTTCCGGAGGGATGAAGAGGCACAGAACGAAGTTGGCCAACTGCCCAACATGAAGGCTTAGAACAGTCCACAGTTCTCGCGGAGCATGCTGGAACACAAACCACTCGCCAATGTGAGCGCAAGTCCAGCAAGTGCACGAGCTTGCAAAAAAAGCAGAGTTTATAAGAGTATATAACACTGGGAAATGTGCGGCGCGTTCTGTAGTCTATGTGCTTGCTTCTCTTTTTGTGCCCCAGACTACCCATGCTTCACAACTGTGGCAGGAAGGGGTCCAACAGTGGTTGCAGGTGCGGGAAGAGGCTTTGGTCGGCCACTTGGATGAATCCTCAGCAGCTAGATTATTGTTGCTATTATTGCGTCTATAGCAACAACAATCATACATTATAAACAAATATATAGACTAATTAATATCATCCGCGGCGTATACAGTATAGTAACGTATAGTATACATATAGGCGGGCTACCATTTTTTTGACCCCCTACTTTTTCCTTTTTGACACACCCTTTTTAACCAACCCATGCAATTTTGTTTTACTCCCCCGGGTTCTTCCCACTTTCTTGACCTCCCGCGATTCTTTTTTGATACGCATGTTTTCCCAAACAGTGTGGCTTCACTAGGGGTTCTTACGGTAGTGGTTAGGGCCGGGCGTTGATGGAGGTGCTCGCCGGGCCGTTTGGCTAATTCGCTGCTATTTACGGTGCATTCGTGCCTCTCGAGATCTTCGAAGTGCATTTCGACTGTGACACTATCTGTGGATGTATGGGTCAGCTTCTGAGGAAGGAAGCGGGAGTGCAAATGAAGTTGCTGAAAGAGAGCACAACTATTTGTGCTCTGGCTGCTGCATTGTGTGTGGGAAGGCAACAAGGATGCGATTTGGACAATTTTTGCCCGCATGCAGATGCAAAGACACGCCAGAGCCGATGTAGCTGATTTAAATTTATTGCGTGCCCTCACGTCCAATGCCAACCACAGTGGGCTCGCGACTGAAGTGCAGGAACACAAGCAAAAAGTGAGTGTAGCAGCTTGAGCTAAACAGTGTGAAAGTTATCACCTGCGTGAGTTGCAGACTCTCGAGCAATGTGGACGACAGGGTCTTTAGATTTCGTTTCGTGGAGAAACAACGCAGCACTTCATGTTTGAGCGGTTGCAAGCCGATTAGCGGATGGGTGCAATCTGAGGTTACTCCTGGCATGAAAGAGAAGCGTGCTGCATCCCGGGTTGTTGTCAACAGTCTCCTGCGAGGGTTGGGCAAGAGGACGTTGTTTGGTGCTATTTGTTTGTGTAAAGCTACTTTCCGGGACATGTGGGTTGCATTCACAACCGTGTGGGCCCGAGGAGTAGTAAGATGACCAACTGGACTCCACTCCACTCCACTCCTCCACGCTAGCACCGCGGCTAGACGATAGTGCACTCCGTAATCAGTGGCGCACGGCTCATCTAAATAGGGTTCATTTTTCATTTTGAGAAACATTAGTTCTTAATGTTTGCTGAAGCTCTGGGCCCAGTCTTGTGAACGTACACAACAAGAGTCAAGCAACTGCTAAAGTCCAGTAGCGCGCAGCATATAGAAGATTTAGAAGCGGGCCCTCACCAGGTTTGCAAAATCGATGCTTTTGGGAAAAGGACTTATGTGGAAGCTCGACCTGAATCCTTACGCTCACGGGAGAATGGGACATAGTCAGTCATGCATATGAAAGCAGACCCCCCCTGGACTGCACCCCCCCATCGTGACTGAGGCACACAACTTACACTTGCAACGTGGGCTCAGCACTGAAAAGCAGTGCAACATTGTAGTATGTCCATGTAATATATATCCATCCATTGCTCAATGACTTGAGAGTCAGATGTGTGTAATTATTTTAAATTCAGATTCAGGCAAATGGCACGGTTGCTCTAATATATATAACTACAAATTCTTCAAACATTTCATTGGTACCAGTTTTCTCGCTTGACTTGGCAATGGCATCCGGTGACAAAGACTTCCAGAGACGCTCTTCGGCTTAATCACGCTTAAAGTGTCGCTCAAATCACAGATGATGATTTATGATTTGGAACATTTAAACTTACTGCCACATCATTGATACTTCAGCCCAGGTTTCGTGAAGCTTCCAGATGACAGAACCCTTGGAGTGTACCTGTTGAGCAATGCGGAGCAGTGTCACTGGGCGGTGGTTGACTTCCTGCAGCTGGTCTTCAAAACAAAAAGGAGAGCGAAACTGTGTGAATACGGGCGGGAATCTAATCAAAATTAAGTACCTCTTTTCTATGGTGGTGACAACAAAAACAGGGGAACCATTTTTTATGGCAGCCATTGCCCTCAACAAACAAAAAACCACTTGACTGAGGACAAGCGTTCCGACATGCAAGATGAGCATAGGGCTCTGTGGCCAGGCTTTCCCATTCCAGATGGCCTTGTGAACAGCAAGCACTCATGCATGTGGACTTCATTCCCTTCAGACATGGATGCAGAACAGTACTGGGGAAGTGAAATGGCAAAACCCACTTCCGTCATGATGGCGTATTTGTGTATGGGAATCCGAAACCCTCGGAGAATGAAGGAAGACAAACTGCACGCCATTGATTCATTGAAGCAGTTGTCGGTGGCTCTTTGCACAGCCGTCGGCAAGGTAGATTTGCTGATTAGGGGGCTTGGGTGTCGGTACAACAAGAAGGTTTCAGTGGATTGCACGGGCAAAATTCTTGGTGGCCCGACAAGTCTGATGAGCCTCGAGATGGCAGAGACCCTTGAACCCTTTTGGAATCAGTGTCGGAATTCACCTGTTTTCCCGTATTTAGAGTCAGTGCTGGACGACATTCACATCTGGGAGATCATCTCATTCTGCTTTGACCCAACAGTGAGACAAAGTGGTATGCTTGGTGCCTTTGTGGAGAAATCCTTGTTGAGCTTTGGGTTCCAACTCTTCAGTCATTGGGCAAACAAACTGGACAGTCACACTCACCGAATGTGTCAGCATGACATCAAGAATCTCAAAGAGTTGCGCAAAGATAAGAACCAAACAGCTCAGAAGCGGGCGGTTATGTCACTACACCTCCTGTCAGCTCTTCAATTTTGGCATTCTTCGCACGAAATCTGACTGGACCTAGTAAGCGTTAATCTGGGCAAGTTTTGGTAGTCTTTGTTTTGTTCAGGAAAGTGTTGATTAATTACTGAGTCTGTTTAGCTTTGTCTCTCTCTCTCTCTCTCTCTCTCTCTCGTGCACTCCTCTACTCACTGATGTCTCTGCCAAGGATCCGGATGATCCGGATGAGGCCCAGGGTGATGAGGTCTCAAGTGATGGTTCGGCGGAAGATGGTTTTGATGCCAACAAAGAGTATGTAGTCACAAGGGCTTTGAAGAATGACGGGATTCTACTCTCATCATTCACTCAATTTGAGCTGCGCTGTTGTGTAATCTGACAGCAAGCAGTCATTGTCATTGTTAAAGTGCACGTTTTGACGAAACGTTTTTCATTCCGTTTGCAGCTGTGGCTATTCATCAGCAGACGTACTACATTGTTGCATTGCCTCAGGTAGTGTACTGGCTTCGTGCGCAAGCAGACCTCTTGAATTCCAACGTGCTCACCGTATGGAGACCCAATTGAATCAGATAGCAGCAATGATAGTGAGTCACTACATTACGTCATTCAGTCAATGATTGACCATTTCGATTCAAGCGTATAATTGTTGAGGGCGAATGGTTTTTGTGCGATGGTCTGAGAATGAATTTTCAACCTCATAAGCCGCCCAGGTCTACATCGATGGCAGCAGCTTGGGGAAGACCAAGGTGGAGCTCTTTTGGCTGTTCGACAACATCAAGCAGCGCGGGTGCTATGCGCCTCCCATTGCCTGGAACCCTGGAGGGATGTTCTGACTACTGCTGTATTCTAAGCGGTTGGATCATTTGATGGCCATGTCATGTGTCAATAGAGAGTCCAGCTTTTGCTGGAAAGATGTTGTTCATTCATTGGAGATGTGATGCGTGTGTTGATGCACTCTCTGCACTGCTCAAGTTGTCAGACTCAGAGGTCTGATGACAAGGATGGGCGGATTGAGTTTCAATCCTGACTCGGAATTCGAGTCAAGTTTCACTATGGAATCATGTGAATGTGCCAGTGACAGTGATGGCATTGGCCCAAGCCAGTCGACTGCTGTCAGCAGCTGCTCAGCATTTCCACTGGAGGAGAGGGATGGCAACATATTATTTCAGTTCAGGTTTTTCTTGTACAATGAGCAGTTTTTGCAACCCCAGGTCCGCTTACTGTTAGTTAGCCTTAGGCCTTAGTCTCAGTGTTGTCTTCAGATAATCAGTTATGATCAGGACCTACCACGTGATGAGTCCAGGCTTGCACGATCTGGCCGGGCCATTCAAATCGCTTGGTACGTCATCACACAGAATGTGGATATCACTGTTTTGGAGGACAGCCTTGCCACAGCTCACAATGTCGTTTACCTTTTGTTATATTTTTTGAACTATAAAATATGTTTGGGATTGTTCAGGTAATTAGGGAATGATACCTCCTCGCCCTGGCAGGAGTCATTGCTCATGTCCGTCACGAAGAGCTCAAGCTCCTGCTCAGGCGCAGGAACGTCTGACATGACGATGACTGTCTTGGAGAAGACCATCAACGACAGCGGCGTTCTGCTGAACAAAGTGATGTTCCATCCGGTTTCGTGTCATGACTCTCACTCCAAGCTCAGCTCTGCAAACTTTTACTATATATGTTTTACCCGCCTGTTATGTTGTTTGGTGGCCCAGCCTTCAAACTTTACCATGCGTAATTCTTGTGTATGGCTGACTGAATGAATGTTGATGCCCTTTTCCTGCGCCCAGGAGATCAATTCGCGCTGCCGCCAGATGCTGGTCGACCACTTCGTCTGGTGCGGCGATGTCCTGTGAGCACCAATCCGGACGCCATGTATCTTTGGGGATGTGGAAGGGTGCATTCCGGAGGGTGTGTACAAAAAGACTGATAAGTTCATGGCCAAGTACAGGGACATTGAAAGCTCAGACCTTTTGTCCCACCAACACTGCTATACCCACAACAGGTACTGCCCAATCTTTGGGCCAGAAGCCAACTCTGACTTTGAGACCGCAGGCCTCCCCTGTGTGGATATGTCGAGGGCTGGCAAAAGGCTGAAAGAGAATGGGCGGACTGCTTCAGTGTTCATGACCCATGCAAAACGACACTGTGAGAAGCGGACACCAGTGATCCTACTAGAAAACGTGCAGGCCAGGTGTCTCAAAAAAACGGCAGTGTTGTTTGTTTTTCAATGGTTTGACGTCAATGAGCTGTGGATGATAAATGAA